TTACAGAGGTTTTAGTAAAGAAATAATTTTGCATTTTGTCATTCAGCACAGGACAGACCATGATGGTACCATTAATAAATCTCAAGTTTTTACATCCAAAAGTTATTAATTTTTTGCTTACCTGCCTTAAAAAATAGTTATTGAATGTTTGGACAGATTTTTAAAAGAACAAACATTTATTTGTCACCACATATATTATACAAAATAATGAGAAGTTATATTTGACTTCGGTTTGAACCATATTCACTCAAAATCAAGTAAAACAAAACTTTGAACACACTTTACAACATATTTAGGCATCTATTGTTGACTTTCTTTTAAAAAAAATTACCTAATAATTTAAAAAAATGTTTCCTTTACAGATTTGCTTGAATGTATTTACAGATTTGCAATGAGGCCATTTTGTACAGTTTGTTTACTTTCTGATTCAACTTCTTTTCGTTTGAACCGTGTTTGGTGAATGTGAAAATAGTTTCCATGAACTTTTAGCCAAGATTCTCAGCTTTCTATCGATATCAAACACGTCCAGGTTCAACTGACAGATCTTAAGTTAAAAGAAGGGTTAAAAGAGAAGTTAAAAGAAATACAAAACAGAAAAAGCTGTTTTGCCCCCGGTACCGGGGGCATGGGGGTAAAAGGTTAAAGTTAAAGTAACCTTAAGTAAAACATGACTCTAAATATTACTTTGAGTTGAGTGTAGGAGGAAGCAAATGCGWACACATAAACTCACAATTCTCATTGCACTGTTTTGTTCCTGCACGAGCTTGTGGTTCTTTTTCTGACTGAACTCTTTGAACTGTTGACGACGGGTCTGCAATCTGCCTTTCAAGGATATAAATGTGCACATTTGATCAATACAAAATACATAATAATATAATTATAATCCCAGCCTGAGTCATCGTGACATCGTGGCCTGCCGTAATTCTGCTCAGTACTTTGCCGCTCGCACATCCCCTTATTAAATAAATCTTTCTTCATTTGCACATGCCGCACGGTGAGAAAACGCGTCGCCCTGCAGTAAAACAGAAGCGGTAAAAACTGGCGCCTCCTTGTCGCACCTCTACGCTCGAAAACTCTTTAAGAAAAAAAAAGAGTCTCGAGCGAAACTGTCTGACAGGGAAGTGTCTGTCGGGCACAAGCACAGCAGATTCTGACAGCAGGTTTAGCTCACCCTCCTCCTGCGGAAACATGCAATCTGGGACAGATGAAACAAAACCAGATTAGGAGTTTAAAATGGATAATCTATTTGCATAAAAGCGCTTTGTTCTTTTGCTCCACCTGCGTCACATAACTTGTGACAGATTATTCCCCCCACACGTGTGCAGCACTCTTAATTTATTCTTTTTTTTTTTCATTACTGTACCCTTCTGGTTTCTTGATATGCTCACTTTTGACTGTGCGAGCGAGCAGGTGAGACATAGGTGGGATGTGATGGGTTGTGTCACCTCACCTGGATCATGTAGAGCTGGGCGATGCGATACTCCTCCACACTCATGGGCATGGGGATGCGGTACTCTTTAATGAGCATGGTGAATCTTGGTGAAGTGTG